GCTCGTGTGTGCCAGCCGCTCTCGGCAAAACGGGCTGGACTGTCTTTTGCCCGCACGACGAGGCGTCGGCTTGCAAGGTCGCGACCGCGTTTTCCAACCGGACGCACGAAATGGCCCTCGTCCGCGAGTGGCTGCGCGACACCCCACGGGTGGAGGGGCCGCTACGGGGTTCCGCCCCCCCCCCCCTTGCGAGCGGCTAGGGGGACGGGGCGAGGGGGGAGGGGAACGGGCGGTGGCTTTGTCAGCTCCGCCCGCACAGTAGACCCCCCGGGAAGGGGGGGCGAGGGGGAGATGCCGCAGCCGGGCAAGGCGCCCGGCGCGGCGGCAATACATTCGGGAGGTGGTCACGAGGCTTTTGAGTTTTTTTGGCGCATATCCATATACGGTTGATCGCTTTTTGCGTTGTTATAACACACGGCACAAATCCCGTGAATAGCGCAAAATAGGCTGTCTCTCAGAGCTCAGACACGCCCCTCACCATCACCTCGGCGGCGCGGCGCCCACGGCCCACGCCTCGACCTTCTTGCTTCTTGGGCAGCAGCTGGTCCGACAGGTCCTCTCCGTGGCCTAGGCAGCCGTGGCCGCCCTCGCCCCAGGTAAAGAAGGCGCCGTCGGCGATGAGGGCGAGGCTGTTACTCTCTCCTCTCCCGAGACAGCGACGACGCGCCGCGCCGCACCGCTTCGACCTTCTTGGGCAGCAGCTGGTCGCAGCGAGAGATGCGTCATGACCAGCCTGCCATGCGTCGCCGGTGCCGCATTCATCGCTGTGCTTCTTTAGCAGGCGGTGGACTGTCGGCTGCGAGGACGGTCGCATTTGCGCGAGGCGAGGCTAGCATTCAGACGCGTTGTCTGCGCCATGACTCGCGCCAGCGCGTGCGGGAGCTCCTGGCTGAGCGTTGAGTCCAGGCGAGTTGCGCTGGCCACGATCGCTACGCCGAGCCGAGCTGACGCGCCGAGGCGCCGGCCAGTCGCAGCCGTGAGGCATGCCACAGCAGCAGAGGCACCTGCCACCCATTGGGCGGGCAGGCAGAAGGCCAGGGTAGCACTGACAAGTGCAACGCGCCTCATGTCGGAGAGCGACCGTGCCTCGTTCGCCGCTTATGATGTACGTACGTACTTTTAGCTTACTGGGAGATGATGCAGAGTTTGTTGTGTAGAGATTTCACGTTGTAGAGCGCCTCTACAGCGCTCTACATCTGCATCGCTCTGTCCCGCGCCGGATGTAGAGCTCTACAGCTCTACAGCGCTCCAGAGCGCTCTCTCTACATCTCTACAGCTCAACAGCGCTCTACACTCTACATCCTCTATACCCTCCCTCAGGCACTGCCACTGGCACTAACACAAGAGAGAGAAGGAGAGAGAGGTACACCACGGGAGCCGAGTTGCCGAGAGAAGAATTTTGTGTTGTTGCCAGTGAGCGCCAGTCCCGTGCCCAGTGTCGTGCGAGAAAAGAATTTCAACCCCATTTTTCGCATGAGGCATGACTCCGGGCACAGACAGGGTGGGCACTGGCGCGCACTGCCACTGGCACTAACAGTACACCAATCCCTCCCTTGGGTGGCTGTTTTCTTTCTTGTGCGAGGGAGTTTTGTTGTAAGATTCTTTCTTTTTCGAAACCATGTTGCTCTCCCGTCACGAGCTCTTTATAAGTCTTTACACGAGAAGGCCTCGCGATGGATGGGCAGGGGGGTGTCGTATATGTGACTCATGGCACATGGACATGGGGGCATTCGACACTACAACAACACACTCCCAGCGCACACTCAAACACTTGACCACACTAACACGAGCGTCGATGTACGCGGCGACACGCAGCCTCGCACAGCCAATCTAGACAACCCAGGCCGCGCCTCTCCCTCGTCTCGCTCTATGCGCTGGCGGCGGCGAGGCGGGGCGACTTGCGCTGAGCCGGGCCGGCGAGCGCAGCAAGCGGGGGTTTCGCCGGCGCCGGCTTCTCCGCATCGTTCGCCGCGCGCACCCTGGCGGCCGCCTTGCGCAGCAGCTTGAGGTTGTACTGCAGCTGGTCCGCGTTGAAGTGCGTGTAGAAGCCAATCAGCAGCAGCGAGAAGAGGAAGACGGGCGAGAGGAGGGGGAAGGAGTGGCCGAGCCCACGGATGCCGTATGGCGCGAGCCAGGCGGGGAAGTCGCCGCTGTAGGCGTAAGCGAGGCGCAGCGAGCCGGCGGCGACCGGGATCCACCAGATGACGCGGCACGCGACGATGGCGGCGACGACGCACTTTTGGAAGCGGTAAAGGAAGCGCGGCCACGACTGGGCGGGCGTCTGGTGCATGACTATGGCGGCGAGGATGAAGACGCCCGAGGCGTGAGCGGAGGCCTCGACGTGGAACATGAACGTCTTGGAGATGCCCGGGCCCCCCATCAGCGCGAGCGTCTCGAAGAAGACGCCGAAGAGGTGGTGCGGCGTCAGGATGTGATCGACGGCGGGGTGGTGGCGCGTGAGCGTGTAGTCTCTGCCCGCCCACCGGCGGTAGAGCATGGCGAGCGTGTCGTACGCCTCGACGCCCATGTCTGCGTACATTGAGAAGAAGAAGTAGGAAGGGTTGTGCGTCCAGAAGTACAGCAGCGGCATCATGAAGCCCTCCACGGCGTGGTGGAGCGCAAAGATGATCTGCCCGTTGCCTACCGGGCGCAGGTGCGCCGAGGTCTCGCCGTAAAAGTTCCAGTCGTCCATGAAGGGAGCGCGGTACGGGAAGGCGAGCCCCTTCTCCCGCAGCGCGTAGTGCCGGTAGCACCAGTCGTCGTGCTTGCGGTCAAAGAGCTCCGCCATGTAAGAGATCGCCTCGCGGGCGGCCGCCTCGCGCCGCGCCGCGTCGGTCGCCGGGAGCGCGACGCCGCGGAAGGCGAGGAAGCTGGCGAGCTGCTCCTCGCTCGCCTCCGGCACCGGCACGTCGAACGGCTTGCTGTTGCCGGCCGGGTCGGGCCACGGAAGCACACTCGGCAGGCTGCACTTGCTCGCGTCATAGCGGGTGAAGAGGAGGCGTGCGATCAGGTCCGAGAGGAGCATGGCGAGGTTGACGAGCACTCCGGAGATGAGGACGGAGAGCACGAAGGTGAGCAGCGAGTTGAGGCGCAGTTCAGAGCTGTCGATGGCGCGATGCCGCACTGGTCCCACATTGGTGACACGAGACCACCAAGTTTGCCGGTCCAAGAGAGAGGCACCGGCGCTGTCCTGAGAAGGTGCGTGGTCCCTCTTGACTGCCCATGCGCGCGAGGCTGTGTAGGCATAGCCTCGAGAGTGCCAGCAGCCAATCCGAGGCGACGCGCATTGCACCAGAAGCGTGCACGCGCTGAAAGGACACCTTCCTACTGGCCGTACACTCAGGTCGTCACTGAATGCTGGATACTGAGGCCGCGAGCTATGCAGGTGGTCAATTGTGCAGCAGGGCACGGTCAGCAGCGCCGACAGGCTGTCGCAAGGCGTGATAGCATGGCCGCACAGTACGGCGAATTCCCATGAAAAAAGTAAAAAATCGAACAAAAAAGAAAAAATCGCAAAAAAATCGGCGCCTGCGGCGGGCCATGGGACCCCATCTCCCCCCCGCATGGATACCCTCTAGGGCCCCCGCCTCCCCCCAGAGCAGTCAACTGTCCTCTCATGCCAGCGAGATATGTCCTCCCCAACTGTCCTCTTGCCAGCGAGATCTCTTTTGGTCCCCACCCCTCCCACACAGAAGAGGGAGCAGCACGCGAGTGCACGCCCGCGCTCACAGCGGCGGCCGGCGGTCCTGTCCCCGGCGCGGTGGGCGGCGCACAGGGGGCAGCTCGTGTCGTACAGACACGAGACCCGCAGCGAGAGAGCGGAGTGTCAAACTCGTCGGACCGTGAAGCGCCCCTCTCTAAAGCCGGTGGTAGGCACCCCTGGTAGGAGGTAGGAGCCTCTAAGCTGAAAGCAAAGAGCTCTATCTTCGCCGCGCGCCCTGTTTCTCTCGAGAGCCACAAGCACAACTTGTGTACAAGTCAACAAGTGTCACCGATTCACAAACACCAATCACCATGCGGGTCGCGGACAGAACCGAGAACGCCAAACACGACATGCTCAAACGCTCACACGCCACCACCCCCGGCCTGATCGTCAGAGCGGAGACCGCACACTCAACTCTCTCTCCTCGGAGAGGCACGCGGCGTGGTCTGCCTCGCAGTGGCGCGCTCTGCCCTCCCGCCCTGCAATCGCGAGGCGCCTCTCCTCCAGCGCCGTCTGCCACAAGTCGCCGCCCGGCCGGTCGCGCTGCAGCAGGCTGCCGAGCTTGGGCGAGGGCCAGCCGTGCGCGCGCGCGTAGGACGTCTCGTAGCAGCGGAGCGCGATGGCGACGCAAGCGAAGCACGCCACCAGGGCAAACGGGGAGAAGCACTCTTGGACGGGTCTGTGCTCGCTTCCGTGTGGGGGGCTGCCGCGCCACGCCGAGCACGCCGCGCGGAGGCGGTCGCGGAGGCCGCCCTCCTGCCCAGCCGCGGTCAGGGCGAGGGGTGAGGGGTGAGGGGTGAGGGGTGAGGGGTGAGGGGTGAGGGGTGAGGGGTGAGGGGTGAGGTGCGAGGGCTCGGTGAGGGCGTTGGTGTTCGGGCAGCCCTCCTCCAGCTCGGCGGAGGGGCGAGGTCTGCGCCGGCTCGACCGCGCAAGCAGCTTCTCGAGCGCCGCGTCGCACGGCACCGCCTCCAGGCCCGGCACACCCATCCCCGCGAGCATGCGCATGGCGAGCCCGCTGTGGCGGCCGAGCCTATGCACAGCTCTCTCGCTCACCCCTCCACTCTCTGCCTCTGCCCAGCCCGCTGTGGCGGCAGAGCCGAAAGGCGTCCGACGCGTCCGGCCTCGCGGCCGCCTGCCCAAGCAGCTCGTTCGAGCCGGGGTGGTCAAAGTCGGTGGCATCGAAGACTCCGTACGCCTCGCACTGGCTGGTCGGCAGCCCAAAGCACACCGCCGAAGCTCCGCTGCTTGTCTGGTACGTCCCCGTCTGCCACCGCTGCCACTCGCCGGCCCAGTCGCCACGGCTGCGCGGCTTGCCGATCTTGAGGAGCAGCCGCCCGCTCCGCTCCTGCGCCAGCTGCTTCCACCCGGCATACAGCGCAAAGTAGCCCTGCTTTGCGCCTGCGCCGGGCGGCCGCGACGGCAGCTCGCCGCCGAAATAGGCGTGCAGCACAGGGCCGAGATAGCGGCGGGCGCGGGCGGACCAGAGGGACTCGTCCTCGGCGGCGGCACGCAGCGTGCGGTTCACAGTGGCGACTGTGAGGAGGCTGAGGCTGTCGAGGTGAGACACGACGGTGACGAGGGCATCGAGCGGGAGCGAGGTGAGCGTGATCTTCTGCATATCGGCAGACACACGCGCCGGCAGCTCGCGGCGCTCCTCCCTCGTCCGCCTCATACGCATCCCACCAGCACCCAGCCGCCAGCGGGGGGCTCAATTTTTTCTTTCGAAAAAAGCCTCCCCCGGGCCCGAAAGGCCATAAAAAGAAATTAGTGTGCTTGCAATGTGGACCACGCCCGCAACGCCCGCGGCGCTGCTTTCCTACCTGCTTGGGCCGTGGACGCTGACAAAGACACTGACGTACACGCGAGGCGGCCTCAGCGGCACCTTTCGTGGAGATGCGGCCTTCGTGCCGCTGACCGGATCGCCGCGGGTGCTCGCCTACGAGGAGAAGGGTAAGGTGACCCTGGAGCCAGACATGGAGAGCTTCGACGCGCGGCATGCGCTGCTCTATCGCTTTGGTGAGGCGGAGGACGGCGACGGTGGGGGGAGAGTCGCGGTGTTCTTCGACGACGGGGTCAAGAGGGAGCCAGCCGCCCTAGCAGCCAGCATGCTGGCTGGAGAGCGCTTGTTCCACAGCATAGACATCGACGGCGCCTCAACGCCCTTCCAGCCGCCCACCGATGGCATGGAGGCTGAAGTGGTGCGAGGAGAGAGGCCGTTCAACCAGCCGGGCATGTTCCACCCCTGCGGCCCGGATGTGTACCGAGGCAGGCTACTCTGCACGGACCCGGACCTGTTCGTGCTGGACTGGAAAGTGGAGGGGCCGAGGAAGCTGGGCAGAATCGTGAGCCACTTTAGTAGAGTGCCCGATATCAGCACAGATAGTCAGGGTCGCGCTTAGAGTAGACCATCGCGACGTCACGGTGTTTCGTCACAGCAGAGGTCGCACCCTCACGTAAAAGCCGTGTACCTCGGCCGTTAAGGCCGATGATATTTGTGGACAGTCGCGCTCCCAATACGTGCATCACTTTTGTGACAGGTCTCAGACTTTGAGCGGCCATATCTCGGTAACTATTGATGGTCCACCGGAGAACTCACATCGCCATTCGAACGGGGCTCGGGCGGGGCCGGGCCCCCGCGTTGAGTGCACCGTTCCATCTTCCAAATCCGAAGAGTTTTCAGGTGGACCATCAATAGTTACCGAGATATGGCCGCTCAAAGTCTGAGACCTGTCACAAAAGTGATGCACGTATTGGGAGCGCGACTGTGGATTGCGCGCACACACAAATTCAGAGCGGACCGCGGAGACGGGAGAGCGACGGGAGAGAGGACGAGTGCGCCGCGGGCGACCATGAGTGCTGCATGCGATGTGCCGATGTCCGATGTGGCCGCGACGGCCTCAGACACCGTCAGTGTTCTCCCACCCCTCCCCTCCATTCTCGCCCGTGGTGGCCTCGAGCCAGTTGAAGAGTTGGCTGCGGCCGAGCACCACGACGGGCGAGTTTGCCATCGCGCGTCTGCGCAAGCCGCGGTCGTCTGTGGCGAGGATCGCGTTTGGCCGCTCGAGCAGGCGGAAGGAGATGACGCCGGGACCGAGCTTGTGGAGGCCGCGCGCGAGGTTGGCGGAGCGCTCTCGCTGCGCGGGCGTGAAGGAGGGCAGGTGGGCGGTGTCTCCGAGCCGCGGCAGTCCGCACGCCTTGAGGAAGGCCTCCCGCCTACAGAGAGGGGTCCGGGAAGGCTGCGAGAGGGGTCCGAGCCCCGCCGCCGCTGGAGGGGGGAGCCTCGCACCGCTGCCGCTCCGCCTTCCCCGGCACCGCCCGCTGCCGCGTCGCCACAATCACGGGGCAGGCGCCCTCGCCGCACGCCTCGAGCAGCTCCGCCGCCTCTGCGCCGTGCCGGAGCGGCGACGCGGGAGAGGCCTCGTCGTCCGCCGCGGCGAGATCGTCAATCATCCGCATCAGTCGGTCGTCCGCCTTCTCGTGCACGTCGGTAAAGTGGACCCGCGCAAAGCCCTCAGCCGTGTCGTCCCAACGGCCGCCCTCAAAGGCAGAGTGGAAGGCGGCGCCGTCGAAGACGGCGGTCGTGGTCGCCGCAGCCTCGAGCCCGCCCGCGCCGAGGCTCGGCAGCACGAGCCGCGAGAGGCTCGCCAGCTTCTCGGGAAGGTCGGCGACGAGCGGGCTGGTGACGATCGGCCGCGGCGGCGCGGTCGCGGCGAGCTCAAAGCCGAGCTGCAGGTTGCAGGCGTCGAGGAGGAGCGAGCCGAGGCGCACCATTGTAGCGAGTCAGTCGCGAGGTCAGGCGCGACGAGATCAGGCGCGGGGCAGGCGCGCCGACCTGCAGCAAGACCTGCAGCAACACGAGGAAGGGGCCCGGCGGGGGCGCGGGTACACACTTAATGATAAGTGGTGCAGAGATTGGTTGTTTCCACAATCAAACAGTCCGTGAAGAGTGCTTGATTCACGGACAGCGAGGCTGCCCGCAGTTCAATCGTTGCCCGCAAGCGGAGCTCCCCACCGGCGGGCTTGAAGACACTGAGCCGAGCGCGCCGGCGGCGGTCCGCCGCCGGCGCGCTCGCTTCGGCGGATGGCTGAGCGGCACAGTTTCTGGCCGCCCGGCCTGCGAGCTGTCGCCGCGAGACGATCGAAGGCGCTCAGTTCAAGCGCGCCGCCATGCCAGATCTCGCCCCACGCCCCGACCAGACCGGGCAGTACGTGCAGGAATGATGCAGGCATGATGGATGGGTGTGGTGAGCACGCCAGCGGCACCGCTGCGCACTCTCAGGGTCGCAGCCGCCTATCTCGTGAGGGGCGTGGCTCGGGGCGGGTGCGAGAGAGTCGAGGAGCGCGGCGCGCGCGTGCGCGCGCGTGGTAAAGTCGGTTTATATTTCATCACTGGTATAAAAGAGACCCAAAACGGCACGCGCGCCGCGCGCACGCGCGCTCGCATCACCTCAACACTCACACAGCAAATCAAGCGATGCGGGCAGCCGCTCGGGCGAGGGTTTCTTCGATCAAAAGAGGGACGGCAGCGAATCTCTGCACAGCTCATTTTCGACCGACCGCAGGGAAACGCAGGGGCGCCCCCCCCCGACCGAGCTGCGAAACAACGGCGTCCACACCGGCCGCCGCTCGAGAAGCCCCAAAATTTTCTTCGGCGCTGCGCGCCGTTGCAGTCGTACATGTAGCTGTAGTCGAGTGTAGGTACACGTACATGTTGCAGCCCACAGCTATCGTGCCGCAAAAAGGTCCATGTGGCTAGAAAAAATGCTGCCGGTCGCCTCGAAAGCGCCCGCCGGTGTGTGTCCAAAGATGTAGCGCTACAAGTTTGGGGACGCATCCGACACACGGGCAGGTTTTCGCGCTTCTATGCTGGCCAACGGTGATGACGCCGTCGCGTCACCGACGGCTCGTGCTTGCGTATGATAGCAACCCCTCGTCCGACGGCAGCGTCCTCGTGTCCGCCACTCCGCCCGCGCGGCATCATTACTGTCCGCCTACACCACTGCGGCCGCCATCGTCACACCCCTCGCCGCTTGAGCCTCCGGCCGCGTGCGGCAACTGCGCACCTACCAGCCCGCAATCGAGGGTGGAGAGTGGCCACGCGCTCAGTCACACTACTACGTGCCATCTGAGCACGTCTTGGCGTATACGAATGAATATCTCCCGATGCGTTCCGGGCCGCGAGCGGCCGAGGGGGTGCATTGTACCCACTCGCACGCCGGCACGAGCGCGGCGCCGCAGTGGGGCAAACGGGGCATCTGGGGCTAGCTCATCTATGAGCATCATCTCTGCCGCTTCTCGCCATCCCCGAGGAGCAGCGCGCCCGAAGCAGGTGAGTCACGGCCGCTGTCCAGCGAGCGCGCGGCGGCGGGCCTGGGAGGGAACCTCAAGGAGAAATATAGAAGGACGAGATTCGAATCCTATTTGACAAAACCGGGAGGGTGAGCTGGAAGTGACGGGAGTACAAGAAAATCGCCAAAAATTTTCTTCGGCGCTGACGCGCCGACAAAGCTGGTGTCCGACCCCGACCGCCGGCCGAAACAGCCGCGTCCAGCCCGACCTGCGGCCGGCCGAAAATCATTAAGTGTGCGCACTTGTAACGCGAGCGTTCCCTTCTTTCGGATGGCTCGACATGCGCCCTGATGGACTCCACCACACGAAGATGGTGTCGGCGATGTTCCTGACGGCGATACAGCGCAGGCACGGGCTCTACTTGTCGGTGATTGCGCCCACTCTCGTCGAGAAGGGCTGCCGCGGGCGAGCACGTCACGGTGGGAGAGTACAAGGGCGACTTCCTCGCCAACTCCAACAAGGGCGACCGCACCTCCAAGCACAACAGGGTGCTAAGGGCCGCCCAGAATGCCGTCCGGGCGCGCTCGGTTGGCAGCATCATCCTCGGGGACAAGGAAAAGCCCGAGGTGACGCGGCACCTCAACGACACGTCCGTGACTGACATCTGCGAGATCAGCGGCGACTTCGCCACGATGCGGGACGTGCACTACGAGGTCAAGTGCTGGAACATCAAGTCGACGACGTCGGCGAGGGGCTCGTGGGGCAATGGTGGCAATGTGGCGTCGGTGGGCCACACCTCTACGGGTTTGGAAACACGCTGGACAAGGCGTTGACGGGAGTCGTGGGGTGCAAGGAGCGTGGCCGTCAGGTGGACGGACCGCTCGACCACTCGACTGGAAAGGGATGGGTCAAGGACCACGCGTACATGTATGGAAAGGGGTGGGTCAAGACGGATACGGGCTGGAAGTGGATGGGGGCGCAGTACTACGACGCGAAGTGGGTCAAGAAGGCCATAACGCGGCTGGTGCTCGTGGAAACTTTGGGAGGCATTGCGCCGCCCACCAAGCAGTTCCTCCACGTGTTCGCCAAGGAGGCGGCGGGCACCAACACGGACCCCGGACGGTGTACGGGGCGGCGTCGGCGAGCGCCTCCTCCTTCGTCGTCCACCACACGCAGCAGATCTCCAAGGCGGCGGTGGCGGGCGACGCCGAGAACATCAACAAGCAGGCGCGCAATACGCGTACCAACTGGCTCAACTCCCCTGAGCGCCAACTGGGTCAACGAACGACGTCAAGAACAAGCAAGCGGCAGACGTCCTCCTACCCTCGGCCCCAGTGGGGGGCGCCCACGCCGCCTAGCTCTGCGGACGGGCCCCTCCACCCTTCACGTACGGATCATGTAGTCCCCACACTCGCTGTCGTGGGATCGCTTGTCATGTGAGAGAGTACGTTTTGTGTTCTCGTTTTGTATCCGCTCTCTCTTTCGTCCCGCAAGCTGCTGTGTGGTCCCGCAAGCTGCGCAACCCCCGAGCCGAGCTCCATTTTGTATGGATTGGCCTTTATACGCTTTTCTTCATATTCTATATTCTTTTTCGAAGCGATTTTCAGCCGGAATATAAAGAATATTCGAGAATATAGGCCCTATTTGGAGCCATATTCTTGCCATATTCGAGAATATGGACCCTATTTTGGACAAGAATACGGAAAGAATACGCAAAAAGAATATAGATAGTACTCGGCGAGAAAGGCCGTCGGTCCAGAAAAAGAAAACAGAGCGCGACACGGGGATCAAAAGCCGGCGTTCTCGTTTTGGTCAGTTCGCCGCCAGCACGGTGCAGGTGACCTTACCCACGGGGATCAAAGCCGGCGTACTTTTGGAGTTCGCTGCCATGCCTACGACGGCGGCCACCGGGCTCGCCGTTGGTGCTCTGGTCAGGCTCTGCGCCGTGGCGGTCACGCCATTCGCCTTTCGTCGAGCGTCCGCTTCTTTTGGATACCTGTGGCGCGCAGGACTGCTGGTGCTACTCCCCGTTCTCGCCTCTATTCCAGTTCCAGCTCAGCAGCCACAAGAGTGGCCCTCACCACCGCCGCCGTCGGAAAATCCCCTTCTGGTTCCGCAAGCCCCGTCGGTCATCCCATACGGGCAGGCTGTGACGCTGGCGCCGCCCTCTTTGACGTCCGTGTCGCCGCCGCCTCCACCGCCATCCTCACCGGCAGCTGCACTCGCCATCGTCCGCCCCTTCGCCACGCACGACGCGTCGAAGCTGATCGGCTCGTTCGCTCGATGGGAGGTGGTGGCTCCTTGCGCTGCGGTCGGCGCTGGGTTTGCGCCCGCCCCGCCGAGGCTGGTGCTCTACTACTCGAAGAGCATCCGCGAGCTCCAAGGCACGCCGGTCTGGCCGTCCCTCGAGGCGTTCCTCCAGGGCGCCTCGTCCAAGCCGTGGAGGCGCTGCTTCGGCTCCGTGTCTCTGCTCGGCGGAAACCTGACCGAGGCGCAGCACGGCTCTGAGGTCGCCTGGAGCTCGGGGCCGAGCGTGCAGTTCTACCGCATGCTTGCGTACTACTCTGCTCGCCCAGAGACGACCGTCTACTACATGGATCCGGACACCGTGCCGATGTGCCTGAGCCCTGCAGAGTTCACACTTCCGCCCAGTCTTGCCCTCTCTGAGCCCTGCAGAGTTCACACTTCCGCCACGCCCAGCGGCTATATGTTGGTTGAAGAGAATTAGGGGGTATGGCGCTCTGTGTGTATAGAAAATGCTTCTCT